CTCTCTCTCTCTCTCTCTCTCTCTCTCTCTCTCTCTCTCTCTCTCTCTCTCTCTCTCCCCCCCCCCCGATGCGGACAGTCTGTCGCCTTGCATCAACACAGAGTTGTCACCCCACTTGGTTCGAGCATGCAAGCCAGGTTCGCCCGTGCGCCACAGTTCGTCGCGGCCCCGCACGTCATCCCCGCATACCCGACACCAGCTCGTCGGATCGCCCAACTCTCACACTTACTCACCTTCCAAACTTGCTCGTTAGCCGACCCTCACTGATCACGCTAACCTCGAAATTCTTAGAGAGCAAACTAATCGCGCTTGCAAAATTTATAGCATGCATGCCTGCGCGAAAGGTACGAGATTAAGGCCAAGTGGACAAGAGGAGAAAAGAGGAAGTGCCTACGTCTGCATGGCCAGGCCGCGGCGTGGGGGTCGTAGCCACACTCCACACATCAATCCGGTCATGCAGGCGCTCGGACCAATAAGAACAGAGTATGTGAGGCGAGGAAGAAGAAGAAGAAGAAGAAGAAGAAGGCGGACAAACACAAGGAAACCAAGAAAGAAGAAAGATACAGTTACAATCACGCTCGCCAAAAACGACAGTTGCACAAGATTAAGGGAGCGATTCAGTCAGAGCCAAGTTCCCAGCGCAGCAAGCTGCGCGCAAGCACGACACAACAAAATTAAGCGTTCCTAAATTCCTAGCCTAAGTCCGAATTGCAAAAGGAAATTCCGAAAAAGAGAAAAACAATTCCACGAGCCCATGGGGGCTCGTCGTCAGTTGAAAATTCAAGAACGATATTCCCGCGAGATGATCGCACCAAAAATCCCCAGTGCTCTCAACAGAGCAAGAAAGAAGCTATGGTACAATTATTTCTCGTGCTCGCCAAGGCGCGGCTACCCAACCGTTGGTACGGGATTTTCCCAACACCAATCCGACACTCCCAACAGAAAACGAAAAATAAACGAGGACATCCATGTAATTCGCCCGCCTGACCCATCTTTCCGCAACTCACCCATCCGATCCGTCGTGTTTCCCCCAAGCTGCTTCGCGCAGAAAGTCGCGCGATTACAGAAAATGGTTTGTCACATTCTTTTTTTTTTTCTTTAAAAAAAAAAAGAAAAAAAAGGGCAATGGCCTTGAGGTATTATCATCGGACTAAGCAGCCCAGGTAAATTCAATATTGTGTCTAACCTGACATCGGGTGGCCTTTTCAGCCCAGGGTGGCCTTGATTGCCTTTAGGGAACCCCCAACGGGGGACACCGGCCAGGGGACAGCCAGTGGCAAAGGGACCGAGCATCATCTGAGTGGTCAGTTGCTGTGCCTCCCCGATTACCCCTCCCCCTATGAACATCAGCAGGGACTGCTCGCTCCTGCAGAAAGTCTACTACACATTGCGTGTGTGTGAGGTGGCAGAAAACTTTGGCCACGAATACACCAGAACTACAGCCTTAATCACACCAACGACAACCTCGTCGCTTCAAAATCTACAGATCCATCTCTGATGCCGCCATCCCTGCTTTGGCACTCGAGAGCCAGCGACACTCGAAATGACACAACTTGGAGCACAAGGACTATCACACCGAAAGCGAGCAGCATCTCTCACTTGATCTTCTTCTTGGGCCGCAGCTGGTTGCTGTGGCCACACTTCTTCTCCCGACAGTTCACCGCTTGCGGATGCAGCCTCGCATAGCACTTGCGGCAAATCATCTTCTCCTGATTGTACTTCCTCGCAAGAGCCATCAGCGAAGGCTCTATGATTCCTCCACGAAGTCTCAGCACAAGATGTAGGGTGGACTCCTTCTAGATGTTATAATCTGCGAGGGTTCTGCCATCTTCAAGCTGCTTTCCCGCAAAGATGAGTCTCTGCTGATCCGGAGGAATCCCTTCCTTGTATCTTCGTCTTCACATTGTCTATGGTATAGCTACTCTCGACTTCCAAAGTTGGACCATAACGTTGGAGGGCGGGGTGTGAACGAAAGTTCTGGGCCGAGTGTAAACGAAACGGAACTCCCCCCGCCTTCACGCCCAACGCCGCTGAGAAAGAGCGTGTGCGACTTTTACCCAAGCACTTGCCGCGCCCCTTACCCCCTATCTCGCGCCCCATTTTGCGGGCCACCAGCGATCTCGCGACCGTTCCCCGTCCTGTTTGGCTGTCGGGCATGTCCCGCCCCCTCGGGTTTGAACAGTGAAAAAACGACAAAACGAAATCTACAAGGCAGATTGCGTGCACTTCCATGTATCGATACGGTCTCGCTCAGTGTGTCTGCCTGCAACGCTATGGGGCACGTTACCCACGAACGCTTCTGGGCCTCGCTCCACTTTTTTTTTTTTTTTTTTTTTTTCGCTCCAGTATTCTCGACGTACACGAAAGACAAAAATCATGGAGGTGTATCTTTCCATGTTCTAGGCGAACATTCGCTCTCATTTTGCACATTTCGAGAAGTGGAGATGGAGAGTGACCCTCTGTCCGTGCGCGCGCAATGAACCAAGGAAATTTATGAGCGACTGTTGGAGAGAGCTAGCTGGCGCCTTTGGACTACATGGCTGCGCCAAAGCTAGCTGGCGCCTTTGGACTACGTGGCTGCGCCAAAGCAGCCCACATCGAGTGCCAAGATTGGCGCCAAATTGAATGCTTCTGAAAATATATATATATATTGGCGCCAAATTGAAGATTGGGAGAAGAATATAGATTAGTTTTAATTAAAAAAAGAAAGAGAGAAAAAATGCACACAGCGTTGGCGCGCCGGCAATCCACAGAGGTCACACTTTCCAGACGAGGACTTTCCCGCCTGTATCTGGTCCTCGTCTAAATCTGGACCTCCTGTCCAAGCAGATCGTGTTCTGTGTCTTTTTTTTTTTGCTGTTGAAAAGTAAGCTATATTTAACCAGCCCAGGTAATCCAGCGGCCTAACTCAGTTGGTAAGGCTCGCAAGTGGCATTCAAGCACATCGTGTTCTGTGTCTTTTTGTTTTTGCTGTTGACAAGTAAGCTATATTTAACCAGCCCAGGTAATCCAGCGGCCTAACTCAGTTGGTAAGGCTCGCAAGTGGCATTCAGGAGTGCGTGGGTTCAATCCCCATTGGCCTCATGTACCTTCCTGGGCATACTTGGCGCCCGACACCTAGAGATGGACCACTGGATCCCCCGATTGGCATTTAGCAGAGTCTGCTGATGTTCATAGGGGAGGGACCTGAGGGGAGGCACAGGGATTGGTCCTGTTGGCATGGTCCCTGATGCTACCGGCTGTCCCCTAGCCGGTATTGCCCACCTGCAGGTCGGGAGCAACCCCCGCATGTTCTCTCGTGAACACGGTTCTGGCTGCTACGAGGTTCCCCGGTATGCCTACAATTAGGAGTAGTGGTAGGTAGGTAGTGTGAGGTGAAATTGAGAGAAGAATCTAGCTTAAAAAAAAAAAAAAAAAAAAAAAAAAAAAATCAGCCCAGGTAAATTCAATCTTGTGTCTAATCTGACAAGGGTGGCCTTTTCAGCACAGGGTGGCCTGATAGCCTTCAGGGATTATGTCATCTTCTTTTTTTTTTCTTTTTTTTTTTCTTCTTCTTGCTAGTACTCATCTATCTCATCCTCTCACCGGGTCTTCACCCGAATACAACCCTGTCATTATAGCTGTATTCGGCACAACTTTCGGTCCAGATGCAGCGATAATGACCGGGCGTTCTATTCGGGTGAAGACTGTAGTCTATGTATAGTAGGGGGGAACACCAACCAAGCCGGATCTCTCCCCAGCCCACGGGCCAGGTTGGCACCTCAGCAGTGGTGAGGAGGGGTGGGCAGGCCTTGCCCATGGGGGAAATGGGCGGTGCTGCTAGCGCAGAGCAATGGCCAGTCATTGCMCCTCCCCCCCCCCCCCCCCCCCCCCCCCCCCCAACCCCACATGGTTGTGTCTAATGGCCAATATTGTCGATGCATAGCAACCAACAACATCAGCCAAGGTCCTGCCAATGCTGACTTGGGGGGGCAACGGGTTATCTCTAGCTGGTAAAACACTAAGCTTGCCCAGGGGCCATGTCCCACTTGCACCCTTGAGTTGAGCTACCTCAACTGTGTGACAACTTTTCAAGCATTTTTTTATTCTGTAGAAAAGAAGAATGCATTTGTTTTTTATTTTATTTTTCCTGCCTACACATTTCTTTGGAATTTTTGTTTCTTTCCAGTGGAGCAAATCTATCTGTGTGTGTGTGTGTGTATGTGTGTGTGTGTGTGTGTGTGTATCACGACGTGTGGCTTCACGAAGCTCGCATGAAGAGAGGTGCATTGTGGGGCGACACGGCCTACGGGGAGAGAGAGAGAGAGAGAGAGAGAGAGAGAGAGAGAGAGAGAGAGAGAGAGACGGTCTTTCGCAGAAAACGTTGGGTGCCGACGGACGTAGACATTGTGAACCTGAATGGGAGGTTGTCCACATTCAGCCCACATGAACAGACACATTAGCCGCGGACAGAGAGCTATAGAAAGCGCATTCCCCTGAATCGCCGGATTAGAAAAAGCTATAGAAAGTGTATTCCCGTGAATGGCGGACAACAGACTACTGAAACGTCAACAGTCGACCAAAGGCGGTAATACACAACTCCCAAAAAAACAAAATCGCGTTGAACTGGCTACAACGCAAAGAAAAAGGCAGATAGCTCAACGCTAGGACGCGAGGATAGGGGGCTTTGTATTCAAGTTTTTTGAGTTTCTGTGAGGTTATTTTATAAATGAACAAAACAACAACGGCATGGCTTTGCAGAAAAATGAAGAACCTACGGATTCTCCCACGATTTTGCATCTCCGACGTCGCGCTGTGTCCCGCATGATAGAAATCTCAACGTTGAGCTAGCTCAACCTTGCAAGTGGGACATGGCCCCAGGCACGTACGAGAGGCCAAAAAATTTAATAAGTTACATTACAAAATATTACTACTATTAGATAAATGAAATCTAACAATCTAGAATATAAATAAGAAATAGAAGAATATAATAATACTTTTAGAATCATTTAGGAATTGAACCCACGACCTCCTGTGCCTCACCAACTGAGCTAGGCCCTTTTTGACAAAAGGGTTCGTGTAACGCTCAACCTCACGCCCTGCGCTGTCTTTCATTCGGAGTGTTTAAATTGCGAAAGGGGGCCCAGAAAGGCAGCGAGATGGGGTGTGCCAAGGATTTTTGGAAAGTTGAGTGTGGGGACATGGGCAGAACCGAAATCCCCTGTGCCGGTCCGACTTAGTAAGAAGGGGGAGGGTCCGGCACTGCGCGGGTTTTGAGGGAGAAAAAGGCGTGCGAGGGACGCATGATGCGGGGAGATTCAATCCAAAAAGTATCGTTGAACTGCCCATCGGACCGTTGTTCTTCGTTTTGCGTGAAAGGGGGCGGGTACATACTTGGTGTCCCGTTTTCGGATAAAATACCGACGCGGCTCATTGCATAACTCAGAATCCGACGTGGAGGGTCTCAGTCGCGGCCCTTTCCTTATGTTCGTCCTCACTTCGTACTCGGTAGTGAAAACCTTTTGATTGGTAACGCTCAAAGCGACAACAATCGCTGCACAGAGTGTTAGGCCAATGGGGCGCCACTGCCCTCCACGGAATGACAATCAACTCATTAAACGGCAATAGCAGCGAATAAGGCAGAAAATGTGTATCAACAATGACAAAACCAGCGCCGACGAACCCTGAGCACCGAGTTTCGGGAGGGAAATAGTATCGACCACCGATCTTGGCGGCGGCTTCTCGTATGTCCCACTCGCATACACGTGCCCTCTTTTCGTTGTACGGGAAGGGATGTGGCCGGGATACGGGAGGCCGACGCCCAGTTGGGTTGAGGCCGTCAATCAAAATGGCAATCCAATTAGTCGTGAAAGTCGGTCTCAATCATCATTAGTCCGACAATCGCAATGATCAAAAATACACTATCCGTCGCTCGGGTTTTGCATATCAAGGGCAACCTGCAGATGTCGTGCAACATAAGGCAGATGGCATGCGTTGCGCATTCCAGGTTAAAGGTCTCGGGGTACTCCCCCGCAATCACATCACCGACATATCTAAACACTCTTGCATTTTCGAACAAAGTCCCAACAACAATATATTTGCCAACGATCCGACCACATTCATACATGCCATTCGTAACAACTCTTCGGCCTAATCAAAGACCAGCCCATCTATCGACAATTTCATCATCCGAATATCTCGATCTGCACTAGCGGTCGCTTTTCGCGGAAGGTGCGAAAAATGGTAGCCATGCATCATTCAGTTCTCCGTGTGCTCTGCACCCCTTTCCCGTTATCTCATGGCTAATCAAACACAAGCCCATCAAAAAACCATTTCATGACAGACATTCATAGTTATTCATGCCTTAAAGTAAGTGGGGAGGAGAAGTGCGAAAAATGGACGAGAACAACAAGATAAATGAAGATCACGCAAAAAAAAATCCGAAAATGAAAAAGGAGTTCCGGCTTAACTGTCGTTGAGCTGTACTCACACTAAAGAATAGATTCAAGACAGAAAGGGGCATCCGCCATGAAATTTCACTATGGCCCCGGGCCATTCAACTCCAATCGCTATGCATGCACTGACGATCCCGGCCGTCACGTGCCACTTTCCACCATTGCGATCGTCACCCCGCCGACTTAGTCCCGACACGGCCTGCCCGGATCCCACAGTCCGTCGTGGCGATCAGGCGCACCGCCGGCCAGGCTACAGTCAGCTCGTCAGGACTTTTCGAGTCGCACTCCATGCATACCATCTAAGCCACTGCTTCCCGGAAGCTGGCAGATGAGTTGAGAGAGAGATTTGCGGGCGCGCTTGCGGAATTTATAGTTGCGGGAAGGGAGGTAGGTACGAGGGAGGATAAAGGTTGAGTTAGGGAAGGGTGAGAGAGGACGTGAGGATAATCGCCCGGCGAAAGCCATGTCGATCCTACTGAGTCCGATCACGGCCAATCAGAGTCGTCGCGTAACAGGAGTTTCCCCTTACACGGCGCCTGTCCTTGGTTGGGCGGTAGAGAGAGGATCGACCGGGCTCTTGGGCATAGGACTTAGAGTGGGAGAGAGAGGGGTGCGCAGGATAGCGCAAAACAGATTCAAGATTCAGATGATCAAGAAAGAGAAAAGGCAAGGGGAAGGGCGGACGAGGGAGAGAGAGAAAGAGAGGGAAAAACGGTTACAGTAGGAGAGTGAGCGCGGGCCCGAAGGGAGTGTCGAAGATGGTGAGGGGAGCAGAAAGGGGGAAGCTCGCTTGCATGGCGCCGATCACAA